CAAAAAACACAAAATATATTTGTGCCCTGCCTAGTCAATGAATAACACTGTATAAACTGAATGCTAATACTACCAAAATAGGAATACAGGATGATTAATATTCCAATATCACCAGAATTTGGTGAAAAGATGAAAACCCTCACTTAACCTCAGAATCTACCAAAATCCATTATAGGGTCTCTTGTTAAAGTCAAGCAGGTCATAATATATACTTTTTTTTTTTTTTTTTTTTTTTCCAGTACCAGGGATCGAACTCAGGACCTTGTACTTGCCAGGGAGGCGCTTGTGCCACTGAGCTATATCCCCAGCCCAATATTTATTTTTTAAAAGTTGCAACACTCATAGTAGTATTGTTTTGAACCACTGGATTCTTAAAAGCATAAAAATATAGACTCAAGCAGAACCAGCCTGTCAAATGAAGAATGTCCTAAAGAACCTGCGCTGGTATGACTCTTCTGATTCTGAAGCCTTCATTACTGGGGCAGAACTGTCTGTCAGGGATTAGCATTGTTTTCCCACAGGATAGAGTAGGCTACTTTCTCCCATGGATTGCTGGGAGTCCTGGGTGTCAGGGCCCGAAGCTCTGCAGAAAGACACACATGTGCATTGCTGAGGGTGGTGGCATGGTTTTCTCCTTCAAGGACATGTCTCAACGTATCCAAATACCACAGCGATAAGACGAGGTTAGAACTTTCTTCTTGACTTGTCTTTTTTTTCTGTTGAAAACAGTAGACTCAGAGTTTAAATTCTGTTCTGCGCTAATCCATGACAGAAACCCAAACAGAAAGTCATATAGTAAATTCATGCTTCTCAACTTCAAAAAGAATTCCTGTGAAATCATTCCAGGTCAGACCAGAGTTATCAAGCCCCATCCTATTAGCAGATTCTAGTAGGAGAGGCTGGAGAAGTTTATGAGTTGGAAATTGCCTTTCAGAGGCCAGAAAATATTGCTAATGTCAAGTGAACTTTGAAAATGCTAATCTACAAATCATCAGTCATGCACCTTAAGAAAACCTGTTTGAAGCAGAAAGACCATGACTCAAGATCTCAGAGTCACTGCTTGTAGATTTGCCAGGATGAAAAGTATTTTCGGGGAATGAATCATTTAAAGATGCTAAGGATTGATGATGATGAAACCACGCTCTGGAGTTCGAAAAGAGACGTGGCTGCTTTAAGAGAGAAACAGGAAGTTGTAACTGGAAGCCGGCTGAATGCTAAACCAGGGTAGAATGCTTGTGAAGTAGCAAGTAAAGTAGCAGTGTTTATTCTGTAATCCTCAGGCAGCCGGACTGTCTTGGGCAAATCTTGATAAAATAGCCTTCATCCAGGATTTTATCTAAGGAATCCCAAGAAGACGCGAGAATGGAGGGACAACAAAGGTTTATGTCAGAGAAGGATGGGTATCACTTTCAACATCAGGGAGCCGTGGAGCTGCTCGTCTTTAATTTTTTGCTCATCCTTACCATTCTGACAATCTGGTTATTTAAAAACCATCGATTCCGCTTCTTGCACGAAACTGGAGGAGCGATGGTGTATGGTGAGTGCATAAATTATGCGATTGACGTGAAACTTGTTGCTTGGGTGTAATTAGAGACTGTGCTCAGATGGCAAAGTACCGAAACTGGAGAAAATGTGCTGATTGAAATGTCATTAGCCTGGTGAAAGGTGCTGCCGCGTCAGGAATGCTAATCTCTTTCCAGAGGAGCTGCTGAAATTTGCCTTGTCACAAGAGCAAATGTCATAGTCACGTTCTCAGGCAGCACATAATGAGAGTCTGTGGACAGCCTTGGTGATTGTATGTGGGGAGTCGAGCCAGGGGAGCTGTTTGTTTTTATAAAGATACTGGCAAGTGATGGCTCTGAAGTCACAGAGCAGCCTTTTTTCCGCAGGCAGCGCTGATGAGCAATATAAAGGTCTAGAAATGACTTCTCCTAAAATTGTAGGGAGTAAATCCTTCTATGAGTACTTTCCAGGAGAAAACTTGCCGAGAATACCCTCTATGAGAATAACTTTCCAGATCACTTTTGATTAAATAAATGTTTTATTTTCTTATAATAAAAAGAAAGCATTTTTCACTTCTTAGCCTGACTTCAGATGTTCTAATTTATGATTATTATCAGTATTATTTGTTCTCTCTCACTTTGCTTTCTCTTTAGTATTATTTGCTTTCTCTCCGAAGGCAAAGTGTGGGAAAAAACATTTTTTAAGTTCTTAAACTCCCAAAGTATTATTTTCTGTGCAATTTGCCATGCCATCCATTTCAGAAAGTTTAATAAAATATTGCCAAGATTATCCACTCTGTACTACCACCTTTTAAAGTAAAATATAAGACATTAGTAGTTTCATACTGATGTTATTGATAAAGTAGCTGGCATCACCCCCCCCATCTCTACCTATTAATGGACAGAAACTTTGAATACAATGGAAACAGGTGAGCCAATGCTAGAATTCATAGAAAAGGGCATATATGGGGGGCTTCCTTCCTTTTGGAAGTCTTGTAGCCCTTGTATATGAGTGAAGTCCAGAGCATCAAGATGAATGCGCATTTTACATGCTAACCACGTGATGTGCTGATGTTAATTCTGTACAGTCATAATTTGAGGACATAAGAAATCCAGTGCCTTAGCTAGATCACACTGTGAGGGACTTGAGTGTAAAAGAGAAGCTCTAAATCATGCAATATAACTTATTTTTAGGAGGCCAAGGTGCTGATCCATTCAGAGGATGAAGTTAAATTCCCTTGTCTTGAGGTTCTTAACATAATGAAACTATCATAGGAGGAGAACCATCCAATAGAAGAGAAATAGCCATCCAGAGAGAAAGGGATGCTATCAGAGATGAAGCCCTTGACTCCTGTCATTTACTCTTCTCCATCATCAGTGGAGGCTCTTTCTGTTGTCATGGCCAGCAAATCATCGACAACAACACAGAATATAATCTGGGAAGCCAGATACAGTGTAATCTTTGTTATCAGACTAAAGGGCTATATAAACTTTAACAAAACACCACAAATTCTAAATGACCACTTACTGAAGGGTAAGATTTCTTCATAACCCTACATTTACTTGAACTATGACTCTTTTACTGATTTCAGCTTAACTGTCATGGGCATAGAGCTTTGTAAAACTTACTGCATTTTGAATGACTTAAATTCAGGCATTGTACTGCCAACACATAAAGTAAATTTTACTTTCGAACCTGAAAACTTCCAGACTGCCATTCATCATCAAAAACACCATAAAATATTTTTAAATTCTGGTAGAAATTATAAAATTGTAGTGCATTATCCGCTATGGTTCAGATAACATCTCTCTAACTTACTATTTTTAAGGAAGTTTAGGCTTAAAATTTAGAAGCATAAAGGTGGATTCTGTGGTTTCTGTCTTCTTTCATAAGTTTTTTAAATGAGAAAGTCATGGAAAGCAAAGTACAATGCAAAAGGATTAGAAAAATATATGCATATGTGTACACATATATAGGACTTTGCACATCTTAGTTATCTTAAATTATATAAATAAAAAGGAGACATATCTTATGTTTCATTTTTGTTATCATAGAACAATAATTATTGGAATTTAAAGGGATCTTTTCTAGCAGCCTCATTTTATAGAGAAAAAAAACCTAAATCCTAAAGAAGTAAAGTTAACTTCCTAAAACTGAATAGCCACCCAGGATGGAGTCTGTGTACTTAGAGTCATTTGAATGTGTTCATTACATTCAGGTTCACCCTATAAAATAGTTTCTGAAAAGAGTCCATGTGGATGGCATTACTAAGGTCTCAGTTTTTTTTCCCCAACGATGGTCTAAATGTTATATCTGTAATGTGTATTAGGGACTTTCTGTTAGTGGCACAATACAACAGTCTGAAATGGAGGAAACAAGAGAAACTCAACAGACACTTTTTACTCATACGGGGAAAGGAGATACCAAGTGAAATAAATGTCCAGTCCGTGTAAATAAACTTTAACTTATAAATGAGGAAGATGCCTTAGAAAACCCAACACACTCATCTTGCAGACAAAGATAAAAAGATGTGAAGGTCATGTTATTAGCTGCTGAGCTGGGGTTTAACCGTATGTATCTCTTTAGTGAAAGATGCTGAGATATTTAAAAATAAGTACATTCTTTCAGAGATCTTCCAGGACAGAGGGTGTGTCTATGAGATGAGGTGCGTCCTCCTCATGTTTACTCTTTCTGGTTTGATCAGAGAGATTTTCTATTCCAAAAGGTCTGAAAACATAAAATTGCAGGGTAAGGTTGAGGATGTAGCTCAGCGGTAGAGTGGCTGCCTGCTATGCCTGAGGTGCTGGGTTCACTCCCCAAGACCAAAAAAGAATTCAGGGTAAACCTGTATTGGTCCTCTTTTCCATCTGAGGATAGAATTCACGGTTTTTGCAAAAGCTTTCCTAGAAGCATAATGATAAGCAATGAGAAAGAAATAAACAAAACTAGAGTTATAATTAAACTTTTAAATTTATTTTTTTAAAGAAGATGAACATTTGTGAATAGATTGTGACTTATCATCTCTATCCTACAGACTTGTAAGGAAACACCTTCCTGAAGGACTGTAGAGGCCAAGAAAAAAATCATGAGTGGTGATCAGCTTGCCTTTGTGCTGATTGGAAACAAACCTAATACTACAAGTACCTGAAAAGTAGCTTTTCTCTCATTATTAAGGGTAATAGTATGCTTTGAAAAACTAGGGGCAGCATTAAAACCATATTTTCCCCAGGCAGACTAATGGGTAATTGCCTTTCATTACATTCTCAGGTCTCATTGTTTCAAAATGGAAGGATTAGAATGCATAAATGGTTTAAAAATAAGCCACAGTGATACGCATTTAAACTGGACTAAAAGCCTGAATGAGTATTAATGGTCAAAATATTGATTGACAGCAGCTGGTGCACTTAGCACTCTTCACTTAAGGCCTTGTATCACTGCTTTGTGCTCATAAAAGAAAAATTGCTCCTTGCTCCCTGATAGCATTAGTATTCCATTATATATCACTGGGGGCTTCTGCACTTTATAGGACACTTAAAATGCCATGCATTTGAGGACTGCGATCTGAGCTTAGGCCCAGAGCAATTTAAAACATAGACTTCTACCTTTGATTTCACGACCTTCTTATATTAGGGAGGGTCTCTAAATTCAGGTGAAAATTCTACTCAGCATTTAGTGAGTACAAAGACAATTTCAAGTCACAAAATTTACATTTTGAGTTCATTCATCTGTGTTCTACTAAAGCGTTTTCTGATCCTTTGTGAGTACACTTAGCGGAAGTTTAGTGAGACCAATGAAATTTACTCAACAGCAAGTTTTTCGAGGTTTAAAGAAAATTATAGTGACATCGTCTACCATCAAGGATTTAAAATGATCTTCTCTAAAAATCTTCAGCAGGCATTTATTTCATCCTAGTCCTCCATAGAGGCCCCTCAGGATAAAATTGGGTTGTTGGACATGGTGTGTCTCCACCCTACTGATCCGATTTTACCCTCGGGTTCAAGATGACACCCTGTCAGCCAAGCCCATTAGAGATGCTTGTTACCATGTCACTCCCCTCCCCCTGCCTGCAAGAGTACTTCTGAGGTGCTTTCCTTATTCAAACATGGCGTGCTGTCTGAGGAAACCGCTGATTCTCTCTTTGAGGTTTCAATTTTTAACCCTGGTTTTTTTTTTCTCTCTCTCTCAGTAGCTAGTTGTGTTGCTTTGGGCAAGTGACTTAACTTTTGCTAGTTTCGTCACCTGTGAAACGTGGAGGAAATGAACAGATATCAGGTGTGAAACGTGGAGGAAATGAACTGAGCTCTCACCAAACTCCCAAAGTCCTTTAAAACTCAGGCCAAGCCTAACTGCCATCACTAGGCATCTTCCAGCTACCCAGGAGCTTTCTTCCTGGAACTTAATAGCAGATAGTGATATCTAGTCTTTCCCCCTAGATAAGATTTCAGTGATCATTATTTTATCACTCTTTTATCATCTCTGCTGTGACTTATAAGTGTTCAGTGAATCCTGTGGAATTTCTGTCAGAAAGTTGAGGACAAATTATATCATCAGAATGGTTGGAGAGGGCTGCAAGTTTAGTGTTGTGGATGCCTTTCACATGGGAACCAGGATAGCTCTTATTTAATTTGAAAGATGCTTCAGGAAAAGTAGTTCGGATTAGAAGCCCAATGCCCTAAACTTGTTCTTCCTTTTTGGAAGATTTTTAGAAACTTCAGTGACCTGGACAAAGCTTCCCATGTTGTAAGGTGCTTTCCAAACTAAGCATAAAATAGTATAAGAACCAAAGACACTTTTCTCTCTACAGATTTTTTTTTTTTTCTGGTACCGGGAATCGAACTAATGACCTTGCACTTGGCAGGCAGGTGCTGTGCCGCTGAGCTAAATCCCCAGCCCCTCTCTACAGATTTTTAAAAGTTGATTTCAGTCTATATTCTAAATTAATAAATAACCTACACATTGTGCTGTGCTTCTGAATTTCAAAGGAACTACGGAGGAATCTTTGCCAAAACTAGGACAGCACCTGTAAGTGTCCCCTCTCAGGTCTAAAAGACACGGAGTGTGCACACGAGAAATGGATTTCTGATTCCACTTATATACATGTTGTCTAGAGTTTAAGTCAAATTAAAGTTCTATGGTAAATGATGTGTACACATGTAGACCTAAGATCTGTATGACAAAAGGTTGATATTTAATAATAATAGCCAACACAAATAGCTCTTGAAATGTGAGCTATACTATTATAAGTATTTTACGTATAGTAACTGATTTACTCTTTATTTATTTATTTATTTTTGGTACCAGGAATTGAACTCAGGACCTTGCACTTGCCAGGCAGGAGCTTATGCTACTGAGCTATATCCCCGGCCTGATTCACTCCTTACAATAGCCATTTTTTAGATAGGGGAACTCAGGTGACAGAAAATTAAATACTTTGTCTAAGGTCAGACATCTACTAAATGCAAGGCAGTTCTCAAACCTTTGGTAGTTTAGTTCCAGGTTGTAATCTGGTGTCACAAACCTGTGTGTATGTTTGGGGGGGGCATGCACACACGCACATGCATGTATAGGAAAGAGGAGTGTCCTCTTAGCATTTTTACATTTTCTTGTTATGGATGAGGGAGCCAACTCAGAGAAATAAAGTGACTTGCTGGCAACCAATCGAGCAGTGCTTCGAGCTGAGGACTCACAAACCCATATTCTTACACTTACCTCAGACTTTTGCTCTATAATAGTTGTTGTCATGTCATAAATGTCTATCGTGTGCCAGGAAACGGCACCTTAGGAAATTTAAAGAAGAAATATCGAGAAACGGGAACTTACAATTACAGAAGCTTACAGAAAATATGCAATTCAGCCAATGCTGCACAAATCTTTGGCAAGAAAAACTATCTTGAAAATTAGTGATCTCTGATTTTTGTTCTGGTTTCTCTCCCAGCAGAGTCTGCTCATGAAGCTGGGGGTGGGGAGTGGCTGGGAGTAGGGCTGGTTGAGTTTCTCTTTTACGCTAAAGCCTCAGAAATGTTATCCTATCCATAGCAAACAGCCCAGCAGGGACAAAGCAGGGGGAGCCAAGCATACCCTCGCCAAGTGGCTGGAATTGAAATGTCCCAGGGACAGTGATGAGGCTGACTTGGAATTACCTGCCCCAGCGTCAGGGAAAGCAGTATTGCAAGTTCAGGTCATTCAGGTTTGAAATGCCTGGGCTTGTCACAATGGGTATGGCAGGTACAGTAAATAGCTTGAGAAAGGGACCGTGGGTTCCCATGCTTTATGCAAAACTGTGTTAGTTTTAGCTGAATTCAAGTTTTGTTTAAACCACAGATTATGTGTCTGGGCTCTCAAAACTCTGAAACCTGAGCATGATCTCAAGTCAGTGTGGATTAAGATGGAATTTCAAGACTGTGACCACATTCCTTGACAAGAATCAAACATAGTGCTATAGGACAGTATTCCCTCTCAGTGTGGGTCTGAAACTAGCAGCATCCAATCACCTGAACACATGTTAGAAAAACAAACACATGAACCTCAACACTGAGCCAGAAACTCTGGCCAAGAAATCTGTGTCTTAACAAACTTTTCAGGTTTTTTTAAATTAATTAAATGTGTTGGTGCATTTTCGGGATACGTGATGATCACATTCACCACAGGGAATTTGTTCTAGGTGGTTCTAACACACTAAAATTTGAGAGCTCTCTCACGAAGAAAAGAATGAATGTATAGTTCCTAATTTAAATTCTATTTTCTGCCCTTTTTTTCTTTCTCATCCCATTACCCTCCTATGGTGAAGAGAGGGTCTTGGAAACCATCTCACTTTACTGGAGAGTGTCTCTTTCAACATCTACAGCACTTTATAATGTCACCACCACTGGAGACTGTTATGTGTAAACATTAGGTAAACTAAACATGTGTTTAGCCAACATGTATATGGTTAAAGATCTCTATTTTGTATTTCTTCTGTCAACTTATTAACATGATGGCAAGAAAGTGTGTTAGCTAATAACACACTTAAATAAATGGATGGCTGAGATACTTTCTAGAGAAAAGTTGTCTACACTACCTTAGAAATTCCACAGTCCAGTGCAGGGTGCTGTATATATGTGCATATGTTTGTATGTGTTGTATGTTTGTGTGATATCTGGTGTACACTGAGAATAGATGGTGAACATAAAATAGAGTACTCTGCAGAAATTCCAGTGTTGAGACTTTGTTATTTCTCATATGACTATTCCATAAGATGATAGAACCTTTAAAGAAGGCATCAGGGTAATAGCTTCATGGGCCACTTTCCACTTTGGATAATGAGATACTTTTCCTGGCAAGTATCACAGAATTATTCTGGGGTCATGATGAGATTTTTTTTCTTCCCCAGAGCTAGTGGAGAGTGGGCTAGCAAAAGCCATAAATTGTGTCCCTCTTAGCAACACCCACATTTTTCTTTAGTTCTCTGAATTTAGAAGGTTGGTGGGAAGGCAGAAAAAGAACAGAAACCCTAAGTAACCACAAGGCATTGTATATTTTTACTTTCGTTTTCATCCCTGACTCATCTCAGGGTAAAACTAAACCACTAAAAAGGGAAATATTAGAAAAGGCATTTAGAAATTTGAGCTGCAAACCTACATCATCACTCTTTAAGTCAGTGTTTCAATAAAGACTGCTAAGATGGGAGGGGGTGGATAAATCTCACATCAATGCTTGAAAGTGTGGAAATGTAAAGTCAGATATTTGTA